GTTCGTTTACGAGTCCGATGTTTAGTAACGAGGCTAACAGAGGATGTGCATCAATTTTGAAATACGAAATTGCAGAAGAGACAGAAATAAGAAAATTCGATATATAGCTTTGCCTGCCAGTGCTATCAGAATACAAAACAGGTCCGTTGTTAAGATGTTAAGAATCTTGGGTAAAGCGTTACTTAGAACACGAGGTCATAGTAGCTTTACCATTTGGCAGTTACGATTACGACATCCGTCCAAATGTTACCGCGACGCAAACTAATTATTCCGGATAATTATAACTCGAATTCTCCGCGGGCGACCTTCGCCGCTCCGAGCAATATCATAATGCAAACTTGCTAGATATGTGCAAATCTAGCTATCTATCAATCTATTTACCTAGCCTGTTTAAATATTACCGCATTGTAGAAGTACAATTTGCTGGAATACAAAACGACGCTCCATTAAGCTCCGTAACAGTCTTGTTGCAATGATGTTTAAGATGACGTTTTTCTATTCAGCGTAAAAAAAATTGTTACACTTCACGTTATATGACATATATAGGTGAATGTGTAGGATAGCAGTCTATAGAACTGCAATCTAGTTATAACAATTGGGGTAATTTTAGTGCCTTAGTTTCGGTGCTATTTCTACCTCTTATTTGTATACCTTTTATTTGTATACTCTTATTTGTATAATATCATTGGTCTTGACGTATAAACAGGATTTATTTATTTTTCTCGAGTTGCTAGCAAGGACTAAACGAGAAATACAGTACTGATTTTAATAATAGATAAACACGATATTGGTTTTAAAAAATTGATAAATATGAGATAAAATCGACTAGTATTTCTTATCGTTTCCAAACCAAAGAAACTGTCTCCTCTATTAAGGTCCGCGGACAGCAGATTTTTCAGACGACGTTACAGAATAACTAAATTAAATTGAGGAGTAAAATTAACTAAACGTAAATAGAGGAGTGAAATTAGGACTTGCTATGTCAAGCTCACGGTCACGGATGCTTCGATGATAATGGATAAAGGCCAGGCATTTATCTGGCCGTTAACAAGGGATCTCGTCACAATCCCATCAATCAAGCCGATATGGTATTTCGTAACCGTGGACATTACGTAGGTTGCAAGATAAAAATTCCGCGCTGAAATTATCTCGTTTTAAAATATTAATAGCGGCGCATAAAAATAGTAACTCTTCGTACATTTTGAGAGCAAATTGCAGTGTTGCTGATGGACGATTTAGAGATAAAAATTGAATAACATACTAAGAATTAGAAGCCGAAACGGTACGTAGAGATTACTTTATGGTTGCAAAAACCCCTGAAGTATGTAAGTTCTAGGGTGACGGGAGTCATTCTAATTAACAAACAAATTGTAAATCTGTTAACAATGGTAGAGCAAAAATGATACATTATTAACACTAAAGTAAGCATACAGGTATGTCCTGCAATTACATCGCAACTGGTGAAGCAATTGGAATTAAGTTTGGAATTTTAATGAATATTAATTTTTGGATTTCGTAATAAACAACTTCCTTTTTACGGTTCCGTACCCTAAGGGTAAAACGGGACCCTGTTACTAAGATTCCGCTGTCTGTCCGTCTGTATGTCTGTCACCAGGTTCTATCTCATGAACCGTGAATAGTAAGACAGTTGAAATTTTCACAGATGACGTATTTCAAATACTAAAAAATCGAATAAAAAACTATTTAAGTGGGGCTCTAATACAACAACGGACATGATTTTTTTTTACAGTTTTTATAGATAATGGTACGGAACCCTTCGAGTTCGACTCGCACTTGGATGGCTTAACTCAACGCATTTTCTTTACCAAGAAGAATGACAAACCCGCGCCAGAAAGCTAGTCCTTACAGGCGAGCATTTCCCGAGCAAGGACACTTCAATGTCACCCTACTGAACGGACCTTGGGGCTCCGATCGGCTGAGAATGGATCGAGTTGCCCGCATTTAGCGAAGCCCCTGTGGTCTCTCGAACAATAACAGGACGATCCGATGTCTCATTACATTTCTGGCTACACGATTATGTAAGAGTCTGTAGTGACGTTAGGCATTTTGGGGTCAAAAGGGCAAAGTGGTAGAAATAGTATTTGAATGACAAATTAGTCTCTGGTCAAGGGGCTGTCCATTAATTACTTGAGGCTCGACATGGGGTGGTTGGGGGTTGGAGGGTTAAAAATGCTAAAACGTTATGTATACGTGATTAATGGACTGTCCCTCACTGAACCCCAAGTTGTCGCGAGAACTTGTAATTTCATATTTAACTAGCTTGTACCTATGTTGTTTATGTTTTCTTAAGGCATAAAGATACCACCTTTTTATACTATCTCCGTTATAAAGCTCCATTCGAAATTACATCACAATTTATTTGCAGCGAGTATAGAAGGCGCCCCTACATTATGTCCGATAATTAATACAAAAGAATCGATACAAATCGACAAACTGTGTACAATTGTGATGAAACTGAATCATCAACAGTATTTTTTCTTCGGGTTCAAACGGATATCAATACCTTTATATGTTCCCTTCAAATACGTCATAATGACGTCTCGCATAATTGTGATCCCATTTCTTTATCTCAGGCACTACATGGTCACATTGCTACACACTGTTGATAAACGGCTTTAAACTCAATTACAATCGTAGTCATTTGTATGTTTGTGGTAGTAGTGTCATACTATATGTTTGTGGTCTGTCATACTATATAAGTATATACATACAGTATGTAGAAGTTTAGCTAATAAAATTAAACTTCTTAAATTAGCACATTATTTGTGTTGGTTTCAATTCAGAATTGACAAAGTATGTTATTTCATTACAGACAAAAATAATCCTATAAATTTTTAGAGCTGTGGAATGGTGTTATTTGCTAACTAATTATTTGCTAATTAATTTACTAGATTAAAGATAGAGAAAGAATTTACTAGCCTTAAGAAATTTGAATTTCTGTCTGAAATTGATGTTTCTTCAGTATTGAAAAGGATTTAAAGTCAGCACTGAAATGTAAAACCCATAACAGTTAATGTCTTAACAATAACTGTTATGGGTTACTTAAACAATACTGTATTATGCACATACACATAATAATCTATATATTTTTTATATTTTAATAGTTTTAAGAACTAATGTTAAATGTATGTACGAGTATATAAAATAAGAGAATACATTGTTTCACAAATTTACCAAAAAGCCTCAATATTAATCAAACCAAACAAAGACTACTTACATTGTCCATTATCATTATCACAAGGCCAAAATATTAAAAGGCTTTATTGTAGATTAAACATAGGAATATATTTGTATTTAAGCGGGATATTTTAAATGATATTGAGACAAGTCATAAAGGGAGAAGGCACTAGTATGTGTGAAGACTTATATGAAATGGTATTTGATCAGAAAACAAACATGGAAAGTAAGACAAAAAAAACAAGGAAATTTGGAATGATTAAATGTTCAACAATTTCTTCAAAAACAAAGAAGGGAAATTGAGAGAAGACAATGACAATGTGTTTTGTGGATATAAATTGAATAAATTTTAAGTGAAAGTTAGTTTCCAAAGATGGTTGTCTTCAGCTTTGGAAACTAAATAGTTGCCTTTCAATGTATATACTATGAAAAAGTAAATTATTTGATATGTCCAAGAACCAGATCACTTAATAGTAGCACTAGTAACTTAATCTATGGGGTTTTTGCCACAAACCCTAACTACAAAAGATTAAAGCAGTCTAAGACATTTGCATTTGCATTACTTCACGCCGGTCATCTGTGAGGTTGTGGTACTAATGCGGAAGGACCAGCCCTTTCATACAACAGTGAAAACTCTTGTGTGGTCCTACCACAGTTAAATATATATATAAATCTATTGATTATTTACATATGCATAACTATTTACCATCTGAAAGTAATGAATTCAATATTTTCTGAATTATTGTTGCTCATATTTGTTTCCAAGCAATAAGTAAACTGTTTATAACTATTACAATTTGCTGAAGTGGGAAGTCATTGTAGTGCAATTAACTTGTTTTTGAACTTAACTGACTCGTAGACTGACCTCATGAAAGCTCTATACAATGTCCTTTAAACACTATGTGTTATATAGCAACTACTGCTGTTATGGTGTTGCTAATGGTCGATAAATCTTAAATTTTAAAACTGGAATATGGATAGACAACTCCAAGCAAGTATATTACACTCATATAGTACTTACAATAGTACACTCAATGACAAAAAATCCATTGGTGCATATAGAGATTTTCTCTGTGGCGTGCGCAATTGATTTTTTGTTTAACTCAATATTCAATCTTACATGCAGGTAAAGATATAGAGCATGAATATTCATAATACATATTTATATGTATATGATTGAAAAAAATACAAGATGATGACATAATATTACTTTTACATGACTGTTATAATCACTGCACATAATCATTTTCATATTTAATTCATATTTTGAAAGTAATATCTTTGTTTTTTTATTCATATACCGCTTAGATAAAAAAGAAAGTCAAGCATACTACAAGTTACAGGCTACTCATGAAGGTAATAATGAGCTAAGTGTTGCATGGCAACATGCTAACTGGTTGCCATTTGCCATGATTGTGTTAATCAAACAATAATGGAAATTCCATTTGTGTCCAATATTACAATGAAAAATCTTTTAAATAAGGCAAGTAATAAAAGCCATATTTATGAGTTTCCATTTTACCTCAACTTGTGCATAAATTGTACATTTGTAATGATAAAAAATAGTGACTTGACCATGATAAGAATGTTTAAGATTTGCTCATCAGAACAAATGTAGATACTTTAAGTAGGTATCCTTATAAAAAATGTCAAGTAAAAGGGTTTTGATAATTATTATGTATAGTCATTAATTTAGTTCTTTCGTCTTTTTAAGCAATGAAATTATCTGAAAAACATATTTATCCCTCATTATTTAAGTGTTTATAGTTATAATAAATAATACATAGTTTTGATTTACCTACCTTTTCAAGCTCTTTTTCTATTTCACCGGCGCGAATGACTAAAGGCCCTCGAACAGCATATTGCAATTTCACAATGTTGGGATTGATGTTTTCTATTGTAACTGCTTTAGATGCCATTGTGCGGGGATTGTAGATTTTGTTGTAAGACCATATACTGAAATCACTCTGCTCCGAAGTTCTCGCAGCACCGGACCACAAGCGACTGGTGCCGGTTGCGCGATTTATCACACACCTCATGGATGACATTCTGTAATCAATTTCACTACTTTGCACACGGTAATTTTTTTCCAAGTAAGGCACGGTCGCCTCAAACACTTGTTAAAATTAAAAGATGATTAAATAATTATTCTTCATGACTAAAATTTCACTTTTTGATGGTTGATGATAACGTAACAGCGGCCACAGCTTGTATTGCCGATCGTTAATATTCGTTCAACAATCGGGAATATCCGTTGAAGGGATTAGTTAAAAGTCTATATTAACTTTAAGGGTTATCGAACATCATAACAATTTACTAGCGATTTAAAGATATGCCAGCATATAAAATTATATACATTTTTAAGACAATAACACAGGCCTGAATATATGAAACTCATATGATAAAAGTACACTTCACTTTACCTATATACAACTGTTACGTAATCCTAGTTATAATCGTCTTAATCATATGTACACTACTGTTATCTATTACATAAAATTGAACTAATTTGAAACGTTAAGTCTGACTCTGACAGCTGGCATGGCAACACTGGAGCGTAAAAATGTTTCAACTAGAATATCCTGTCCGTAACACTAAGACTAGTAAGATGTAACATCAAGAGTTTTTATACAATCTCATTTATATATTTAAAAGCTTTATGCCGTAAGAGAATTCAGCTCGAAACTTTCTATAGTAATGCGTGTGCATTAGAAAGTTTCATGTATCCATATGAATTCTGATTACATTTAATCATCACTCTAATAAATAGCTTCATTATCAAGAGAGAATATTCACTTTGAGACAGAAAATTTATTTGATGAAGTTGATTTAGGTCTTTATTAATTTTATAGTGATTAAAAAGTACTTATAATTTACGTAGAGTTTAAAAATTGATATTAACTAGAACTTAAGAATAATATTTCATTGGAATACTAAATGTAAATAGTGGGAAAAAAAATTATGCCGGTAAAAGTTTGGGAAAAATCGAATGATGACTGTTATTGTGTGTATAATATGTATACACAAATTCATTAGATATGTGCAAAGCACTATATTCACATTTATGCAATTTAAGTATTTATTTCGGATGGTCTTTCTGCACCTTTCAAAGGAAGATTTGATTTGAAAGGTGCAAAAATTAATTAAATTGACGAATTATATTGCTGAAAAAAAATCAGATAAAATAAATTAAATTGAGAGTCATGTAATATACTTCGGAATGATAGAGATGAAGAATAGATAAACTGCATATTTATGTGGCGTTAATATGTTATTACAAAATATACTTATCTCTTTATCTTCCAACTTATCCGTGTCTTTCAATATTTATACGTACATTTTATTTATTTTATTCGTATTATTCCTATTTCATGTTCTCATTTTGATAATAATTTAACAAAGTAATAATTTCATATTGATCATTATCCATAAGAAATGAGAGCAATAATTGTTAATTGTTTAAATCATCTTCGGATTAGTTTATCAAAATAGTTGTTACTTACTTACTTTATATTTTTTTATCCTTGTAATTGAGTAATCATTGGAAAAAGATTTTAAATTCAACGCAGGGCACTTTATATAACAACGCTAAGCAGTATTGCTTGAAACTAATGAGAAATATGAACGTATGATTATTTTATCAGTTTATAACAGTATGAAGTGATTATAAATAGTAAACAATTTGCTCGTTTCTTACATAAGGAATCTGATCATTCATAGTAATTGACAGTGGTAAATCCTTTTTATTTCAAACTTCATTTACATAAATTTATAACAACTAAGGATTTAATATTAGTTATTATTAATTTAACAATAATTTTGGTGCCTAATGATTTACGATGAGTCCTGTAAGGCATTCGAAACGTCGAGAGTTTAAATAAAAAAACCGATTAAATCTTTTCGCTAAGTTTGTCAAGTTATTTAAGTTATTAATAAATATGTAGCAATACGTAGTTATAGTTTATTAATGATAAGTAATAATCTCTTTAATGAATAAATTTTGTTTTTTGTCACCGTTGAAGTGAATAACTGCCATCTATTATTATTTTATTGTACACGCATTGACATTAGAGTTTCGATGTTATGATTTGGTTGCTGGTTGCAACACATATTCAAGAGATGTCATTCTTATCAAAACTGGAAGATTAAATCTTACTTGCAATTTTCTTTAAAAGTAATAATAATTATATAAACACGCTAATGTTACGGTGATACTCATCAAATTAAAAAAAATTGCCGTCAATCGTTTCGCAACTAATCGTTAAAATTTTGCAGTACAGTCAACATAGAAGAGGGTTAACATTGCAGGTAGGTATAATAATTTACCTGATGTACCAAGAATTATAATATACAATAATTTACTTAATAATAGAAATCAGAGGGTCAATTAAACAGCGCTAAATTAGACCGTATCTCTTAAGCAAACTTAAACTATTCAAACAAATTAATAATAATTTGCATAGTATGTTATCTATTTGCAGAATAAAACTAATTAAGTGTATGGGTATTAGGTACCACCTGATTCATATCATACAAAGTATCAGTTACAGATTAATACTCGTATAAGTAATGTATAAGACAAATAAATGTGGTCAAAGATTGCAAAATCAAGATCTTTATCTACCCCAGGCTATCGTAATTTGCAGGAAGCACAACACTATCAGTTGATTACGCATGAGATGAGATTAGTTAATCAATCTGTCCGTGCGGACTGCACCAATGATTATATAGCTCGACGTTATTGCAATTTCATATTCGCAGCGATTGCGGGTGGACGTTTCCATTGCGATTTCACGTTTTACGAGGGCAATTCGGCAGATTGCACCGTACGTAACGGCCCATAGACTTTAAGGGGATTCGCTACCGTCCGGCCGTATTTTAGCTAATGTGCCGAATTCATAGACTAACGGCTCATAAGTACGTAAGTATAGTCATCGTTCTTTGTGGACTGTACGTGAGATTACGTACGCTTTGTTGGGTGAAGGTCGATTACAAAGCGGCACGCGGAACTGTTGACTATTACCTGAACGTTAGGGCGCAAGATACCTCGATATAGTGCAGCAATACTTGTAAATTATGTATCGCACCTCCCAAGTCTGTTCCGGAATAGAGCATTTTCGTCTAAACCTCTTTCAAAGTGCTTTCCCCTGTTATTCACTTAGCAACATATATATCTGGATTGCCGTTTGTACGTATTTTATTTCAGTTTCAGGTGAAATTAAACGTATTTCGGGGGAAAATATATATGTCTTTAGCCTAAGGTACAGAGCTACAGTAATTTTAAAAGTGCGAAAGAATAATTAAAAAAAAAATTATGAATGTATAAGGGTTTCGGTAACCTAAGGTTTGGTCATAGACCTATGGACCGTCGACTATCGGCCGGTTTCAATATTCTATAGATCTACACATAGATTGACACCTGTTATTTGACATTAGGACCATAATATTTCGGACGGACGAGCCTGCCCATTCGTGCAACAGCCGAGGCTGCTGCGTGGCCCTACCACAGAATATACTGAGAGTGTATTCGAGGCGTTCGTAGATTGATTGTTACAAGTGCGTTTACTCTTTGAGGCTACATTTTTACTGAGGATGTAGTTTCATGTCACACAGAAAAACACACCGAATGGTTTAATTTTTTCGCTTGGAATGTGTGTGTGCTGGAGCTCTTAGACATATATACTTCTAATGAAACTCTCCCCCGTCTGGCGTACGTTTCTCTCGTCCAATATTCCACAGAGGCTCCCCGTTTTTCAATTAAAAGTCACAAAGGCGCCGCGTCAGGTATGTTGGTTCGGCGGACTGGCGGCGTGCAAGTGTAAATTGCTTTGCGAGCGGCTCTTTTGTCTCGCAGCGACTCCACCACTTTTATATAATGAGCCCCCCCCCCCCCCCCATTTTTGTTTTTCACCACAGTCAGAAAGTTTGCAATGGTTAAAAACTGCGTTAAGGCGCTTAACAGGCGATGATCTTGATTGAAGGAAGGTCAGAATGAAGATTGTTGAAGTCCCAATAAGTTTCTACGATTATTGAACATATATTTCTTTATTCTTTATCTTGATTAGCTCGTGATATACTATTTAATATATTGAGTCGTGATCATGGGTCAGAGGATCTTTTCTCGCCTGGGATGAATACTAAAGAAGTCTACCGTGGTAGAGCCGGCATGGCTTCACATAAAATTAGAGATATTGTAGTATTATAAATTTTAAGTAACCTCCTAATACAAATTATAACTTGGAACCACGTTCAGGTCAGCTTTCAGAAAAACAAAAAACTGCACCATCTGGTCCTCTCGCTAAGAACCTGATGCCACATACAAACAGATATACAGACAGTCACGTCACAAATATAATATTCCTCTTTTTACGTCAGAGGTTAAAAATAAATTGGTAAGAGTTTTGAAATTGCATGAAATGAGAGAAAATGGTAAAATTATTTTATTGGAATATCTGATACATTTACATATTTATTAACACAACAGTATTTACTTACAATAATTTAAAAAGAATTCACTTAAGTCTATTTTTAATGCATATACAATTTTTTGTCTGCATTAATTTCACAACCTAGACTAGTGGTCGGAACTCTTCATTCTCTACTTGACCTTTCAAAGAACCTCTGTTTCTACAACTCCTCGCCACTCTCAATTTACCCAATATTACCACGCGTTTAAACCGCCTTCATAAAAATGTTTACAATAACGAACAGAATACTACATTATAAAGCGGCATTCACGCCATTTTTGTGTGTCCGATCGCTTTGCGGCGCGTATCGTTGGAGGAATTGCAGATGGAAGCGCCTGATGGAGTCCATCATGTGGCTGAACTCTTGTGGCGGGTGCAGGATGGTGGTTCTGAAGTGGAAGGTGCCCTCGCGCTGACCGAAGCCCGAGCCCGGCACCACGCACACGCCTAACCCAAAAATAAGCACATGCTGTATCTGGTTCAAAATGGGTTCTCGTACTGCACTTACGTAACACAACTAGTACATATCTTTTTTTTTATGTGAAAGTTGCCAAACGAGCAGACGGTTCACCTGATGTTAAGTGAATACCGCCGCCCATGGACATCTGCTACACCTGAGGGTTTGCAGATGCGTTGAAAACCTTTTGAAAATTTGGCTACAGTTCACCACTCACTGGACAAACGCATTATACTTCCACTTGACGCCGGTCTTCTGTGAGATCGTGGTACTTACCCTGCCCATTCGTGCAACAGCCGAGGCTGCTGCGTGGCCCTACCACCGTTCTATCTCTACTAATACAAATAGTAGTTAAGCAACAATTTTGTTAACATTTCTTACTCGTCCCAAAATGATCATAAGACGTATCATCCCCACTAATCTGACTTACCATCCATACCAATTCACACTATCTTATTTGTTGCCTTCTAAATACTATTGGTCGTTAATGAAATGGCCGACCACTGAATTTTTTTCCAAAATGACTGTCTGAAATGACGCGGTATTAGCAAAAGACTTTTGCTATGGAACAAGCTATTTATAATAAAGTACTAGACGACAGTATGGTAGATGTCGATGAGCGGCGGTAATCAGTTAACGTCAGGTGAACCGCGTGCTCGCTTTAATATACAAAAAAGTCTCTCTACTTATCATCGTCCTCCTGACCGTATCGCTCCTAGGTGGGGTATCTACTATTGATTTAAATGCATGATAACGGAGTATAACAAATGTGCTATTCATTAAGATATATTGAGTTTTTTTTTTTTTTTTTTTTTGGGCTGGATGAGCCACTGTTGGCCTTAGGGGCCTTTACAGATCCGACGGACTTGATGTGGCCTGGCGCACGAGACGCCTAGCCTGAACCTCGGCGTACTATTATTACGCGTTATGGTGACTAAGCTCGAGGGCTCCCGGGGGAGCCTCGGCTCGGGCCGTCACGCTATTATTATTACTACTCTTAGGGCGCTTTGGCGGGCGCTCCATGGAGTGATCAGGCTCAAGGGTCCCCGAGAGGGGACCTCGGCTTGGGCTGTCACTCAGCACGCGTTTAGTATTCCGATTCGAGGGTGCCCGAGAGGGCCGGACCTCGGCTCGATCGGTAGCTATTATCTGACTGGATATATTGAGTGAATATTTATGCTTGCAATGCTACTTACCAGTTTCTTCAAGTAGCCGCAGGCAATAGAACTCGTCTGGAGCGAGGCCCCTTTCATCGGCCTCCTTCTGAGCCCGCTCCGGTATCTCTACACGGGGGAAGGCGAACATGGAGCCCTGAAACGGAAACAAAACACATTTTAGGAGTATCTACATTAGTAGCTTTACTACTAGTTTTAGTATTAGTAGAATTAGTGGCTGGTGCATCGACGTGTTTACCGAGATTTTTGTGTCCTTTTAGTTTATATAATTATGTAAGGTATTTAAGTAATTCGTAGTTTATATAACTAAGATATTTTAATTCGACGAATTAGGCATGAAATATATCTAAGCACCATTTCTCGTATATGAGGTACCGTAGTTAGGATTGTACAACTGTATTTAAGTGAAAATATCGAGCTTAAAGGTAAATGAAGCGACAGTGCTCCGAAACGGTACCACGGTATTGCGGTGGGAGGTGAATAAAGTGAGGTACTGACGTCGATGGGGTTGCAGGAGTATCCCGGAATGGTGTTCAGGGCCTCGTAGGCGGAGGCCGAGCGCTCTGCCAGGGTGAGCTCCACCTCCAGCTTCTGAGCAGCGAATAGTGGATACGAAGGCTCCCCGGGCTGTGGCGGCCGCACCTAACATGAGCCAAAATCATATTGATGTTTTAAAATGTTGGATTTTTATGTTGCTATAAATTTACAACCCTGTTACATATAACATCCTTATCAATAAAGGGTCGATGCAAGAACTTTGGTAGGAGAAATCCTTTTATCATCAAATCTTTTTATCAAAATATATTTAAGTGCATACTAGTACATAATAATCACACTGCTTTCTCGCACGAGCCGACCCTCTTATATGAAACATACTTCGCTTGGAAATACTATGTGGAATTGGTAATACTTTATTTAAACTTTCATTAGTTATGCGCTTTCAAATTAGATTTTTGGGCATTTAATATATTTGTAAACAGCTTTCATAATTTTTATACGAGAGCTTCTCTAGTGATTCAATAAAAAATGACAATGACGATTGTTTCTCCTCCGTTAGGGAAACCCGGTTATCGTTGACGTCACTATTTCACTTTCAGATCGCTGTCGCTCTGACAATGTTCAATGTCTTATTTTGCGTTGCAATCACCAGAAAAAGTATGCTGGCCCATCAGCTTCATCTCAACATGAAAACAAACCACTGTGACACCCACTATGCAGTGGAGGGCGCACTGGCCCAGCACGCCGGGGCACTGCCGGAGGGCGCGCGTCCGCCCGAAGGCCGCCGCCACCTGCCCCTGCAGTCGCACCAGCTCGAGGAAGCCTGCCCGCAGCCCGCACTCCGCCGCCCAGCCCTTGGAGCAGGTCACGAAACTCGCCAGCTCCATCCGCGAATAGGGCTCCCCCATTTCGTGCATCACCTGCCGAGATCACCTGTTAAGTAATGCGTAGTAGCCACACAGCAGCCTCGGCTGTTGAATAAAATGGGCTGGCTCATCCGGGTAAATGCTACGACCTCACAGAAGACCGGCGTGTAGTGGAAGTATAATAAATACTTTCGCGTTTCGTCTGATGAGTGGGGTAGCCGGAGCCCAATTTTCAAAAGGTTGTCAACGCATCTGCAACCCTCAGTTGCAGCAGATGTCTATGGGCGGCGGTATTCACTTAACATCAGGTGAACCGCCTGCTCGCTTGGAAAGTTTATACATAAAAAAAACTTCTTATGGCACGATGCCACAGTATCCATGGTCCCTAGAAAAGACAAATAATGATTTTTTGAATTAATCTGTTTCTACTGACGCTTCGCACATCTTTCAGTCTGTGGTCACAGGATTATATTCGTAAAACAGTTTTATTTAACGCTCAAAGTGGGTTCGCTCCCTCTTGATGCCGCAAGTACTGAACTTTTCAGATTGAATTCACTGATTCTCCATTCCAGAAGATAGCGGTATGGATAGTATAATTTAATTTACTATATAGAAAGGGTACCTTTTTAAACGAATGGAAAGGCTTGCTGACAATATTCTCCTGGTAGACCTCATCGGCCAGTAGGAACAGGTCGTGGTCGTACGCGAATTTTATAATCCTCTCGATGTTCTCTCGACTTATCACCTAAAAAGTGTTATAGATCTATGAATAATCATCGTTGTATCATATTAAAGTAAGCTTTTATGCTACAACGTTTTATTAATGTTATTAAGTATAAACTTATTGAAATAACGGTAAAATATATATTTTAATATAATAATTAGCAATTCAACTAAATATTCGGAAACAAATTAAATTTACTTGCATCACAATTTTACGGCGAATTAAATCAAATTTCCATATAACGAGTACCTATCTCACACTTAACAGATTCCAAACACGTTAGTTACGTTTCATTCTATCACAGTCAGTAAGATCTGTGCGCCCACCTGTCCCGTGGGGTTGCCAGGGTTGATGATGACCAACGCCCTCACGTGGCTGTCCACTTCCGCTTCCCGCCAGCTGCGCTCCAGCTCGCCAATATCCAGGGCCCAGTCGTGATCTTCGTCCAGATAGTAGTTCGCTTGGCGCACCCCCAGCTCCGACAAAGCGCCCGAGAAGAGCGGGTATTGTGGGATTGGTATCATCACCGCTGAAACGAAGGACCATATTATACTGTACTGTAGCTCAGTGTCCGGGCGCTCGCCTTTAATTCAATATACTCGAGCAACCTGAGTTCGATCCCCGGCGCCGGCACCAATGAAATTGTTAATTTTAAGTGCCGAATTATTTTCACGTGCTCTGCGGTGAAGGAAAACATCGTGAAGAAACCTGCATATTTTCGAAATAATAACAAAAAATATTTCGAAGATATGTGAAGTCCGCCAATCCGCAGTGGGGCCGCGTGGTGGACTATGCCCTGATACCCACTGTACAGAGGAGGCCTTGCCCAGCAGTGGGACATGTATAGGCTGATACTTTACTTTTACTTTTGAACATACATAATCATATTTACAACCGACTTAAAAAAGAAGGAGTATTCAATTCAGTTGAATCTTTTTATGTTGGTTACATCAGAACTGCGTCATGAAAATTTCACTAAAAAATTTTAACGTCTTTTATCTTTAGTTCAGAGATTCATCATCATCATTATCATCATCATTTCGGCTTGTTTGAGTGCACAGATGAACATAGGCCTCCCCACAGATCGCCACGAAGTAGGATCAGACGACGTGTGGAGATTAGCACTTAAAAGCTTAATATGTATTCAATTTTCTTTGGAAAGGACATATTTTCAAGGGGGTCTATTTCTCTGTCATTGGACATTCGACTGCTTAGACACACCAAGGATCTCCCCAAAATCGAATAGGAAATAGTCAGCGAGATATTTTAAGTCGGTTTCGTTTTTTGTTATTAATAAAATAAAAAGACAAAACTACTTCATGTCAGACTTTATAGTATTGTGTCGAATATCTGTGTATGAATCTGAACATCCCGCTGTCTGTCCCTTTGTATGCTTAGATCTTTAAAACTGCGCAACGGATCTTGATGCGGATTTTTTACTAGATAGATCGATTCAAGAGGGAGGTTCATATGTATAATGCATTGCACCCGCGCGCAGCCGGGGCGGTTCGCTAGTATCGTCATAAATTCGTTCCGCAAAACGACAAGCTCACCTGGTGGTTTTCCGTCAACGTCCCCCGCGAACATAGCGAGCACCGCCTTGATGAGGTCAGTGGCGCCGTTGCCCAAGTAGATGTCGTCAGCCGCAGCGGTCACCTGGTCGCGTGACGTCAAATACGACGCGACGGCTTCACGGACAACTCGCAGTCCAGCAGAAGGAGAGTAAGACCCCACCGACCTGTTCCTGGAGACAGCGAATAACTTGAGACTGTGTGAAATGCGAAGATTGAGACTACGTGAAACAGCTTTGATAGCTCAGTGTCCGGGCGCTCGCCTTTAATTCAACATACTCGAGCAACCTGAGTTCGAACCCCGGTGCTGGCACCAATGAAATTGTTGATTTTAAGTGCTGACTTATCACGTGCACGTAACGTCAGCTTACTGTAGACCAGCACTAAACAACTTTCGACAATTGTTTTTAAGCTTCGCATTAAAATAATATAATCAATTGCCGACATTATTGCCACAAACCAGCTATGGTTAGCAAAAATTCGAAGTAAAATTAACATTTCAAATACCAACTAGAATTTAGCAGAAGCAGCAGCCTGCGCGCGTATAAAAACTTTCCTCAACATTATGTTTTTAACAAATTCAAGAGTAAAGCTATTTACGGATCACTTACCCTGTCATAATATCCTTAGCGGAATGTTTGGCGGTTTTATGCAAGTGATTAGAATTAATGTACTATCAAAACAGTCATTTACGTGTTACACGTAAGTAATTACAAATGTTAATGGCGAAGGTCTTGTAAAGTTGTCGTCGTGCGAACGAAGACGGAATTAAACCAAATCGCATTAATTGAAGGGCGTGCGAATCAAAACTCGGCCAAAAATTACCATAACAACGGCGCTGAGTAATTGGATCGCTCCCGTCGGCAGCGTGTCGCGCGGGGAGCGTTAATCAAATCCTTGATTAGTGTCACATCGGGCGCTCGCAAACATTCATTAGCCCACAACATATGTCTTCCATTAAGTCAACAATTAGCCGGAAGACAGACACGGGCGGAAAGCGCCCTACATTCAATTCCGCTGGTGGCTTTGATAATCTATTCAAGTTTATGGAAATTTGTTATGCTATGACAATTGATTTATATTTATATAATGCCTGCAACAGAAACCTTGTATTTTCGGCGTTATAGAATAGATTCCTTAATGCAGGGCACGGTTGCATTTCATTGGGTATCATACCAACAGAATTTGAGTGAGTACAAATCCTTTGCAGCTGCGATGAGGCAAGCTGTTTATTCCTTAGAACGAACTTGTGTGATCTACTAATAGATCTACTTTATGTAAAGTTCATAAAAATCATTATTATGTCGAGATATCCATAGCAGATGTAAATGTCTGTAGAACTTACGTGCAATCATCAAGTATTTCCCGAACGCGTCTCTTCACATCTTCCGGGATATCAGGTGAAGACATGAGCTCCGGGCATGCAACCAGCGCCAGCACCTTGAAACGAATTGAATCAAAATAAATTATATGTATATAAATGTTTTATTTGCCGTTGTAATACCTGTAGAATATCGTTTTACGTGGCAACTAGCTAACTAACTTAAATTGATAATTAAAGAGTGAAGAAGAGTAAATGAACTGCTTTATATATAACTTAGCAAATTATAATAACTTTTCCCTAATAAACAATGATACTTAGTTTTCTTTTTGTGTGTTTGATATACTATTTATAATATTATATAGATATAAGGGTAATATTGAGAATTGCCTACCTGTCTGATGAAAGTTATGGGTTTTTGCCCTAGGGCGTGGCAGTCGCCAATGTTGGCACGGACCACACGTTCGAATGGTTTCGGGACCCCCTGGAAATAAAATAAGGGGATATTTTAAACGACCGACGACGTCAATATGTGGTTGCAGAAGTTGCACTGAATAACTCAAGAGGTAACCTTAAATTTGATTAAATACCAAACGAAACACAATCTCAAATAATAATCAAATTATAATGGGGGATTATATCATATTTATAAAAGATATTTAGCTATGTTCATGAATAATAATATAAATGTAAACATGAATAATACTAATGAAAACGAAATAAATGATGTTAGACATAAATGTGCTGCTAAATGTGTTAAATAGACATAAATGTAGCTGTATTATCCATATCTATTCGGCAATTTGGTTAGTAAGTTACCGGAGATCCAATGGTTACTGAGATGAATACCAATTGTTCTAATATAATGTTTGGTTATTTGGCCTAATTCATAATTAACAATTAAAAAAATACAGGCTCAAAAATTTCCTTCCTTCGAAAACTAAGGAATTGCTCGTGCAGGCCTTAATTTTCCCTTTAATTGACTATGGTGACGTGTGCTACTTCGACCTGAATGGAGATCACCTCAATAAACTCGACCGACTTCTAAATAACTGCATTCGATTCGTTTTCAATCTCCGTAAGTATGACCACGTATCTTCCTTCCGTGCTCAACTTCAGTGGCTACCTATACGCCAACGACGCTCTCTAAGAGCACTGACTACTTTGTACTCCCTCCTGAACTCGCCTTCTACCCCATCTTACTTATCCCATTATTTTCAATATTTATGTGCTGTCAGCAACATAAACCTTCGCTCTTCACATAATCGTCTTCTGGTATGTCCATCTCACCGTTCTGACTTCATGCACTCTTCTTTCTTTATCCAGTCCATCCTCCTGTGGAATGAGCTTCCTCTCGAAATCAGGTTGGCTAAAAGTCGCTTTATACTCAAAAGAGAAGTTCGTGAGCACATCCTCAAAAATTTTTCGCCAGATCAACCTCATCGTTGAATATACATATATATATATATATTTATGTATTATTTATATATATATATATATATATATATATATATATATATATATATATATATATATATATACACTACATAAGAAGATTATAAACATAAACTTAATACATACCAAAAAAATACACACAATATATATATATATATCGTGACAATAAATGAACACACATATAGAGGACAACTTTTTGAAATCGTAATAAAGATTTACATTGTATAACATCAATATTTACCGAGTTATCAAATTTTCCAAAATTAGAACACCCTTACGTATAAACTTTAATGTAAAGTTCATTTGTAAAGGTCACAAAGCATATGAATGGGTTGAATGAATTTAAAAGAGACATAACAAACTATTAGAAGGAGAGGCTTGTAATGCGGCGCTGTGGCAACGCATGAAAGGGTCTCTGAATGTATGAATCAGTCAGTTGTCAAATTTTGTTTCTTTTTTATTTAATTAGTTTGTTTGGAAAAATATTTTTTTTAATTATGGATTTTTTACGTTAATATTTTTTTATGATTATTGGCAAGTAGCGTTAGACGTGTGTTCATTTATTGTCGCGGTGGTAAAAACACGCTGTATATATTACCATATACATTATAGATAGAATTCAGAATGCTAGTGTAGTGCTAGCGTTCTTGGCACCATGCCGCGTGGATTAGGTTTATTAGATAATATGTAATTTTAGATAGATTTAATCTTGTAAATATTAGAACAATAAAGATTGTAATACTATTCAGAATCCTATTAACAATAAAGGTTACTTATTAATTATGAAGGTCTGTTAAAATTAAGCAATCTTTCGTTAAATTAAGTGAAGTGGAAGTGTTGTATTTCTGCGTTACGTCTGGTGAGTGAGGTAGCCGGTGCCCCCTATGATAAGGTGGCAACTCACGTACATCACATCACGGCTGTCACTTGACATCAGGTGAACAGACAGCCCGCTTGTCTGCTCACTGTACTCGACACAAAACAACAAAACACAAAACGAAAAACTCGACACAAAACTTGTACTCGACAAAATCTTACTGTATTCATGTGACAAGTTAAGTGCGTCACCGCTTCTGCGATGTGTAGTAAACATTGTGATAAGCGACTTTAATGCATCGCAACGGAGTGCTTGTCTCCGTAAATATCATCCGGAAAATATTCTTTGAGAAATATGTCAACATATATGACATATAACGGGAGAAATTGCAATACGCAAATAACACTGAGATACTTAAAAATTTGTCGGCGAATCATTCCACTCTTATATATAGGAGAACGTATATGCTTATGTTTTATGTATGTATATATTAAGTAGGTTTATTATATGTTAGTGTAGATTTTCGATCATTTATTCTGCATAGGAGGTTTTGACACAAGTAGTCTCTAATTTATGTGTATTCGTTTCTCATGTTATTTATTATTTTATTTTATTTGTGCACCTACCTCAAGTTCTCTAGTTCTCCCGTGTATTTAGTTTGAATGCAAATAAAACAATTTTTTAACATGTTATAATGAAACTGTAAAATAGGCGTTAATTTTTTTATTAGTAAGTCATAAAATAGAATTGAGAGAACTCAAAGGATTTTTCTCTTGTCATAAGTCATTTGTGGTTAATTGGGCAAATCGTATCAGTATATCATATTTTAATTAATTTTTTTATATGAAAAGTAGTCAAGCGACCAGGCGGTTCACCTGGAGTTAAATGAATACCGCCGCCCATGAACATCTACAAAACTTGAAGGCTTTTCATATGCGGTGACAACTTTTAAAAACGTGGGCCTCGGATACCTCATTCACCAGACGAAACGCGAAAGTATAACTTCCACTTAACACATCTCTTAGGTGAGGCCGCGATACTTCCCGGTCGAGCCTGCCCATTCGTGCAAAACCCGAAGCTGTTGCGTAGTATACATTACAGTGTATATGTATACAACTAAATAAATGATTTAAGTTTCATCTTTTTAATCTTTAATAATGATATGTGAACGTACGTTGGTGAACCTGTTGAATGAATAAATAAATAAATATATCACAGTAATTTATGACAATATGTTATAAAACATTCACAGATTTTTTTTGAGCATTCTATAATGGGTCAGTAATAATTCAGTATTTTTACTGTAATACAAATATAATAAAAGAAGAAATAGAACAGCAACATTTTTTACACAATGATTTAAAGGGGAAAAAAAATAATAAGGGTCTTAATTTAACCATCTCTTGCAATCAGTGAAGATGATCAATAGTCGCACGGTAACAAGGGGACGATAATGGACGACAATCGGCACAACACTTAATTCTTTACTTGTAGAGCGCAAATTTAAGTAAGAAAATACCTTACCTTTTCTAGTTCCCTCTCGATCTGCAACGCCCGCTCGAGAAGGGGTCCGCGCACCGCGTAATTCACATCCAACAGATTCCTGTTGATGTTCTTCACTGTTAGGCACTTTTCTAGTTTCATGTTGACTGATCTCTCCGTGAAAAGTGCAACAATAGCGAGTGCAAGTGATCGAATGCGGTGCGAAACGTCGCACCACTTGTTATATTCGCTCGAAGCCCGCTCGTGTTGATATTTACGTGGCGCAGGTGAATCCCGGGCTGTTTTGTCGTCTGTCTCTCATCAAAGTTTTCCTCGATCGATGGATGCGACGCAATACTATGATTGTAGGAGCTTAAGTCCTGGACATTTAAATGAAAATTAGCAAAAGTTCACAAATCTGAATCTTCCTTAATAAGTGATATTCAATTCCGCACACGATTACAGTCGTTAGGCAAATTTGGCAACTATCGGAAGGGACAGGATTATAAGAAGAAAGAAAGATATAATGTCTGGAAGTCAACCCAATGAGATCGCGTAGTGTGGCATGCGGAATATGTTTACCAATGATATATTGACAATAGATAGAAGGGAAATGGATAGACTTTCAATTTCATATTGAGATAAGGGATGAATCGATTTATGTTTGCATTATGATCCGGTTAGATTTACTTTAGATTTGGTTTTATAACGTTCATGTCCATTCGTGGATAGATGTAAATAAAAAATAACATTATTTTCTTTTATCTAAAACACCCAGTTGTTCAACGACGAAGTATGTCTTTTGTTCCTTTATACATAACGTCAATAAATAAATCATGGAAATAAGAATTTCAAATGTCATTATACTAGGTTACAGGATCTCAGGCACGACACCTGACAGGCCAACTTTTGTTTTGGAATCGTGTGTGGTGATCTTCAAAAGATACCCTGCTACCTTACATGACAGGGTTATGTGGGGTTCTCACCCTCACAAAACCCCCTAGAACGTCAACTTCTGTACGTCTGGAGGGACTCCGGGATCTCCTACGGAACGCACCGGTGTCCCTCGGTACTGCGCGTGAATTTTTATTATGTTCCTCATATTATTCATATTATTCCCTCGCCATCGTGCAGCCGCTCGAGTCCAGTTCGTGCTGCTGCCAATTTGTGTGCTCTTTTAGTCGCCTTTTACGACAGGCAGGCGTGGCGTCTCTAACCATCGTTTCTCTTTCGAATTCCCTCTCACTTTATTGATTTCATTTCAGACGAAATTAATACATAATTGAATGAAATTATTTTACGAATTTTATCGCGTTTTAATTTTGATTTTTATTTCCCGACGTTTGAACCCTATCCGGCGTTCGTGGTCACGGGACTGTATTAGTCTGACGTTTCATTTCATTCATTTATTAAATCGTGACCCTTACTTATCTACGAATCAAAAATAAATACCTTTTTTCTGTTGCAATGAATTCGTGGTTTAAATCATAATGGAGGATATTAAATTTGTCTGCCGTAAATCTTTATTTTATTCATGCATCATTAAGAATTGTCACATTATTATGACACTACTCTTTCTGCGGCGGCAAGGATGTTTCCTTCATAATTTGGAAAATAAGATAAAAATATGACGATACGAAAATGATTTATTAGACAAGTTAACGATAATCACTTGTTAAAAGATTAAGAGGAATAAAAACAATTTCCTTGTATAGTGGTGGTAAAACTCATAATTGCAATTTTTGTTTGTATCGATATCACAATTTAATTTGACTCAAGACATAAGGAACAGATAATTGTCAGTGAGTGCGATCTCTTCCTTATCCGAAAACGAAATCGGCATCGTTTGTGAGTGAAGTAATGATGCTTATTGGTCCAGGGGGACTTACCGTCCCTTGCGTACTTAACGTTTTCCTCAAAGATACGTAATTGCTTGAGAAATAAGGATTGTGTGTTGTTAGCTAGACGGTATCGTTGCGGTAATACGAGATATGAAATGAACGGGGATTTTTGTAGCGGCATAATATCGTTGGTTATTGCGCAAATTGAGAGGCACTTGAGAGACGGGATATGGTTTTTACTAGAAGTCAATCGGTCTCCATTATAGGTCTATATTTCGTATATTGTTTAAAAAATCTGACTGTTCGGGAGAGGGATCGTGGGAGAACGAAAAGACAAACATTATACAATCAAAAATCATATCATTTAAGTGTCGATTGCATTAAAAAATAACAAAAAGAACAAGACCGCAGAGTTTCTTGCTGGTTCTTCTCTGTGCAGGTCTAGTTTAGTGAACCGGTGGTTTTTTGTTGACGTTCAATACGAACTTAAGCCCAAGTTGGTAAGTTATATTGAATAAAGATACTATGACCTATGACTCATTTCACCTGGTAAAAGGTGGCAACGCATCTGCAACACTACGGGTGTTGCAAGCGTTCATGGGTGACGGTTATCATTTAACATCCGGTGAATCACCATCTCACTTGCACCCTTCTCATATAAAAAAAATTAAAAAAAGTTTCTTGCCATTTGCCAGTCTCTAAAAAGGTCTATTCAATATGAGCGTAAATATAGTCCTACATTGAATAAATAAATTTTGAGTTCTGATGTCTTTTTAACGTTTTTATATGAAATAATATTGACAGGACAAATATTCTGAGCGAACTCGGAGGCAGGCATCAGGCACAAAGTAGTTTTAAAAAGTTAGTTTTAGAAACATTTGCACGCTTATCTTTTGAAACATATTTTAATAAATATTATTGTCGGATTAGTTTTTGCCAAGATTTTGCAATTTTATCATATTAGTTAATTGTTATCTTTTGCTGACATTTGCTGCTGCCGATAACCCTGATATCGGAGCTTGTGCCTCTTGAGTATCAAGGTTCCCGCCATGCAGAGCGTATTAGAACATATTTTTTATCTGAGCATCACAAAGATCTAAGTATTTATCTACACTAGTGTAACCTATTGGCCTAATGAAAGGGTATCAAGCAGAAATCTCCACTAAGTAAATGGTTTAACTCAAACAGGTATATGTTTTATTAGATCAGGTATTTATGTAATTAATTGATTTTTTTGTTGATTAATTAATTTCATACTTAACGAGTGAAACCCATGTTTGACTAGTAAATTGTGTACCTGCCAGGAGTTTCACGGCTTATCAAATGTTTGGTTAGAAACAAATCACAAAAACTTGCCAATAATTCCTTTTCCATATTTATATTTATTTTATAAAGTATTTGTTTTCAACAACTTTTGTAGAGCTACGAGGCCTAAAAAATAATAAGTGGTAGCTTATGGACAAGTTTGATTCCAAGTGAGATGCTCTGGCGCCCCATATATAATAATAATAATAATAATATTTTTATTTTTATTTATAAACCCAACCAGACGAGAAAACAAATGAATATTCCCCCAATAATAATAATTCTTTATTTCAAGCAGTAGCCCATAGTAATAATCGACAAAAATTCAAATTAATAATTAAAAACAAAATTAGATTTAAACATTACACAAACAATTAATTACATATAAACCACATTAATTTTTACTTATCTACATATATATAAATACTGTTTTCACTACTTATTCTAACAGCTGAAACTACAATAAAAATAAAACTAACTAAAATTTAAAAATGTAACTTAAATAGCAATAAATTCGAAATTATAATTATAATAATGGAATTAACGAAATATACAAATAGAAAACAAACATAATTATTTTATCGCTAAAAGACTATCTTCTTAAACCAATAGTCCGCTCCAACAAGAATTTTTGAATAGGGCAGTCTATCCGATCGGAAATCATCTTCAGGATACTAGTGGTCCTGCCACGGAGTCTGAGCAGTACAGAAGAGGTTTTTTTGCGCATTATGGCATAGAAATCGTCCGTTCTTGCTTCCGCGAACATACCAGAGGCACTGTAGAAACGTGGCAGCCCCAGCAGCATTCTGAAGGCATTATTATACAGAACACGCAGGGCGTTATAGGGGCGCTGCGTATAATTAACCCACAGGCCGCTAGAGTAAAATGATTGCGTTTTAAAAAGCAAAATTTTTACTTCTTTGGAACATCGAGCAAACCTGCGTGCCAATAAGTTGCTCCTCACCGCCAGCGCCCTGCGTTGACGTTCAATATCCTTATCATCTTTAAGGTCCTCTGTTATGATGTGCCCAAGGTATTTAAAGCGGTCTACTAGTCTTAGGGCAGATCCGTTGAGAAAAACTGGAGGTGGATTGGGAGGTCTATACTTTCCAGCTTTAAATATTAACATTTCACTCTTTGTACAGTTGTATTTTAAGCCATGTTTTTTCCGCATATTTTTCACAGATAATCAACAATTTTCTTAGACCACTGATCGAAGGACTCAGCAGTACCATGTCATCGGCATAACTAAAGTTATTTACACAAGTTCCATCAATGTAGCATCCAACATGCATACTACTGAGTTCCTCTATCAGGTCGTTAATATATAGCGTGTCACGACAATAAATGAACACACGTCTAACGCTACCTGCCAATATTCATAAAAAAAATATTAACGTTAAACAAAATCCATAATTAAAAAAATTTTTTTGAAACAAACTAAGTAAAAAAGAAACAAAATTTGTATCATCCTATACAACTCGCGTCACAGCGTCGCATTACAAGCCTCTCCTTCTCTCTGTTTTGTCTCTTTTAAATTCATTCAACCCATTCATATGCTTTGTGACCTTTACAAATGAACTTTACGTTACAGTTTTATAGGTAAGGGTGTTCTAAAATTCTTTGTTTTGGAAAATTCAATAACTCTGTAAATATTGATGTTTAAAGAATGTAAATGTTTAATACAATTTTAAAAAGTAATCCCTATATGTGTGTTCATTTATTGTCGCAATTGTAAAGACACGCTGTGACTTTCCTAATTTTTTGGATTTTCTTATACTTACTGGCTTACTTTCATGTCCACTTGGGGGCGATAGACTAATTTCAGGTTCACGCATTAGTGTTAGAAGACTTGGGGACAATCGTGCATTTTTTTGCTTTCGTTACAAACAAGAAAATACACGATTGTTACACATAATGCATATGTTGCTCAGAATGCTTCCCCTACTTATTTCACCTTTACCTATTTTTGGTTTGCCCTGAGGATGCGTTGAAAGTTATTTTATTATAATAATG